ATGAAGCGGACCCATCTCTGGCGCTCTCGGGTCCCAACCTCAATACTCCTCTCCCACACGGAGCCTCCCCTTTCCCTCCGGCTCAGAGCTCTCAGCTCTATTTCTCACCATCACAAGCCCTCAGAGAGTCAGTACTACCTATGGAGCTTTGGTCAAAGGGGCCCAGAGTCAGGCGTTCAGTCAGGCTCCTCCCTGGTGAGCATCTTGGCAGGTTCCTTCCCTTAGTATTGAAGAGGGATAACAGCCTCCTCCACTCTTGGCTCACAGGCCTCCTGACTGTCCCAATATAGGGAAAAAAAGACACGTCTTGCACGTCAGCGCCACCCATGGGCCAGGGTTGGTCAGGACCACTGAGCTCAGCTCCCAGGAGACAGCTATTGAAAAGGTACTTTCACTTGTGCGGGGAAAGGTGTGTCCAGGGCCAGGGCAGAGGGGGACATTGGTGGCATGGTGAGCACTCTCACTAAGGTTTCTGCATCCCAGCCATAGGTGGACAAGGACGTCGAGGTCTTAGCGGGGCTTTGCAGGAGCGAGCAGGTGCCCATGGCCCACCTTCCAGGGCTGTGGGACCAACAATGGGAAGGATGGGTCTTCAGAGGGTCCATCCTCATAGCAACATAGAAACATCCCCATGTCCCAGGGCTAGAATTCTCCTTTCTTGCTCCTCCCCCGGTGTCAGGAGCCCTCCCTTCCGCACGCGTCTAATTCCCGGATTGGAGCTCGGTAATGTCCTTCGACCTTGAACCCTGTTGGTATATGTGCCCCTGAGAGAGCTGCTGCAGGGACTACTGGGGAAGGATCCTTGATTCATCCTGCTGGCCAGCCTGAGGTTCCCCCCAAAACGCCTTCTTTGCACCTCATACCTCACCCTGCCTCACGGCCTGATTCAAACACCTCTTCCCGTAAGCTCCCCTCTCATGTCATTCTGCAAGCTTCACCAACTGCGGCCCATACAACCAGAGCACCGGGTGACTGTGACACAGACACTGATGACGGCAGCACTGCCACAGAAACCCATCTCAGGAGGGTAGAAAAAGTACCTGTGAAATCATATTCCATCTTGTTTAACCTTGGCAGTGGTTACCTGGGTGTGTGCTTTAGAAATTCATTGTTCTGGACACTTTTGCTTTTCGCAAATATTCCTTCTGCCATTTTCCAAACACACATGCAAAGTTCAACAAAGACACCTGTCTCAGTGACAAGCCCCAAAGCCATCCCTCTGTTGTTTAGACTGGGAATGCCTGCTCATACCCGCAAAAACTAAGCAAACACTAGAACAGTAATGGAATCACAGAAATGGAGATCAGAGGGGAGGGGAAAGGGGAGAATGGGGGAAAAGGTACCAGGAATAAGCAGCATAAGCAGTAGATCCATCATAGGGTCCATAATAGGCAGTTAAGAATAGTACATTAAATGGAGAAGCCAAAAATAGTATATGTATGACCCATGGACATGAACGAAGTGGGGGGGATGATGGAGGGTGGGGTGGTGCAGGGTGGAGGGGAATGAAGGGGAGAAAAAAATAGGGCAACTGTAATAGCATAATCAATAAAATATATATTTTTTAAAAAAGAAAGATAATACCAACTTGCTCTGCAATTTCAAAGAAACACCACCTCAGGTCCACCTCTGTTAAGTAATTCCACACATTTTTGTTGAGGACCTACTAAATGCAAGGTACTATCTATCTACATATCTCAAGAGAATGAGACAGACATGGTCCTGCCCTTTCATTCTATAAGGAAAACTGATAAGACATGTAAAAAGTAAAGTAAAATGATTGAGGCCATAGTGAGTGCTAAGAAGGAAATAAGCACTGTGCTACAAGAGAGACTAACAGGGAGGACCTGCTGGTATAAGTGATCCAGGTGGCCTCTTGTTGGAGATGACATTGAAGGCAAAACCCGAATGATGATAAGGAGCTGGTCGTGTAAAGAGTAAGGGAAGAGCATTCTGGGTCAAGGCAACAGCAAGTACACAGGGTCTGGGGTGGGACACAATGTGGTGTCTTCCAGGAGCTGCCTCAGGGTGGGACAGTGGCCTGAGATGACATTGGAGAGACCATTCAGAGGGTCGTGTGTGCTCTGACAGGGTTATTCTAAGGGTGAAAGTAGATAATATATGAAAGCATTTGGCACCCTGTCAGCACATAGTAAGCATTATACAAAATAAATGAGCATCCAGTTGTAGGAAACCTGGAGTTAGTAATTTGAGGTGGTGGTCCTAACTATCACAATTACTTGCTTTGTGACCTTGAAAAAGTCAATTAACTTTGCTGGGACTCAGTTTTCTTGTCTGTAGAATAAGGTTAATAACACTTGGTAAAGTGAGGAGTAGTTGTGTTTGTGCGGAAAGCATAAGCATTAGGCCAACACTGAGGAGACATTTCTTGGAAGTTTAGCTGCATGACAGCACTGTGCAGGGGCCTGAGTATTTTCTCAAAATTGTCCGTATATCTCATTTCAGGTAGGAGGTCATGATACCAAAATTTCCAGCTGAAAATAAACATGATAGTTCTGTGTGTTCCCTTGGATGGGAAAAACAAGCAAATATTTAGTTTTAAAAAGTTTTTGCCTGGTTATGTACAGTCTTTGTAGAGTTGCAAAAGTAAACAAGATAGGATAAATTGCATCAGCATCAAATCCTGCTTCATCAAATCTAGAAAACAAGTGGTTCCTGGGGAAATTGACTCACAGGAGTAATGCTTCAGGTGGGTGCTCTGAAGATTGACTGCAGTCCACCTCCTCTGCCTTTCTGATGCCTAAAGCTGAACTGGCAAACCTCTATGAATGAAAATATTAATGTCCTTTTAAAATACGACAGCCAAAACTGAACCCAGTCTGTTTAACATGGTGACTTAGCCAGTTAAGGTTTTCCTGTTCCCTTCTTGCTTCATTCATTAGTCAGTATTTATTGGGCCTCATGAGTGGGCACAGTCTTCTGGCCCAGGCTATAAGCATGGGGACATAGAATTCCTAGTTACAACTTCATGGAGACCTCGATCAGAGTGTCTGGATGTCAAATGAATGAAAAACATTTTTACTAGTTAATAAATAAGAACCAATGCAAGCACAACTTTCTAAGACTTAAGCTGACACTCAACAGAGAGTTGTACATTCTGCTTTGATCATTTTGTTATAAGATTTTCTCATATTATTAAAAAATTTCCATGAATACTACTTCGATGACTGATACATCTAGCCACATGATTTGCCCAACCCATCCTCACAAAAGCGGCCCTGGATAGTAAGGCTTGCATTTATGCCAATATGTGGAGTTCATGAAACTCTCATCTGCTACTTGGAAACACTGGATAAAACACATGAAACATGACATGCTTCCTCGTAATATGGGCACTGCCAAGTGCAGACTGAAGTCTCAACCCCCAAATTATCCCTTTACATTAATGGTCGACAGCAAATATCTGAAGCCAGACTGCCTGGGTTTGAATCCTGCCTCTACCCCTTACCAACAGGGTGACCCAGGGCAGGCAGCTAACCTCTCCGTGCCTCAGTTTGCTCACCTAGAGCTGTGGGATTTTTAAAAAAAATATTTTACAATTGTTGTGGGGGAAGCATAAATTCTTTGCTCAGTGCATAGAAAACAGAAAGTGTTCACTAAATGTTAGCTATCACCAAGCACTATGAGCCCAACTGTATATAAGAAATGGAGGACTCAGAGAGAGAAAGAGTTAGAACCAAAACTTAAGCCCCGGCTTTCTGACTCTAAAGTCCACTACTGTCCCTCATGTTGATGTTGAAAGCAGGTGCTGAGCCAAGTAAGGGAAGTCAGGGTCCAAGAGACCCTGGGATGGGAGCCAAAGGGATGGAAAATAACCACGAACTGGGTGAAGGTTGCGAAAGATGAGTGCTCTGGCTTTTGGATTTGGACAGGAGCCCAGGATTGGGGAGGGGCGGGGGGGAGGGGAGAAAGCAACTCAGTTTGTGTGAGGAGTCACATGTCATGAGGTAGGTCCATGGAGGAGGGTGCTGAGATGAGAGTGTAGATGGCTGAAGGAACAGGTCAGCAGGAAACGGGGTCCCTTGGAAGGCTTCCTGCCGAGGAATTTTTCCTGAAATATATTTTGTTTAGTAGCCAAATTATGGGATTTGGATTTGACATTGGAGGAGACAGTTGTGGAAACACTGAAAAAAGATATTAACTTGCCCCATGCCTTTGTCTTGTACAGATGATCTCGATGACGTTTTCAGTGCCCATCCCTGTCTCTGGCCCTCTCCTCCTGATGAACTCCTATTCGCCCACGAAGTCCCCATTCTATTCCTTTACTTTTCTCCTTCCCTGGATAGACCCAGCCCAGCACCCATTGGTCCATTAAAGGCCTTATCATATTTTACTGTTCTGTTTCTGGACCATACAAACTAGAATGTGTACTCTGAGAAATATGTGCTGAGTCAGTGAATGGATGAAAGAATGAATGAGCATTCTTATGCCGTTCTTAGGAAAAAGATTATTTTTCCACCTACAAAAGGAAAAACTCATGCTCAGAGAGTATCAGTTGCCGACTTCATATGCAGTGGGCCAGACTTGGGGCCAAACCTCCTGAAACCAAGGTCAGTGCTCTGCCCATCAGAACATTCACCTTGCATCACAGCTAAATGGTGGACTGGAACAAGTGCTGAGGAAAACCGAGGCAGGTGGGCAGGGAGTTTTGGAGACAACAGAGAAGGGGTCTAACCCCAACTCAAACTCTCAATGACCACCTTACCTATCTGTAACTAGTTTCTACCTCTGAAATGAAAATAATAATAAAAAAATCATACCTACTAAAGTTTGGTGAAGTAGACTGTGATTTCTAGAACTCAGGATCCATGTATGTTTTGCTTGAAGCTGTGTCCCAACACCCAAAATACTGCCTGGCACATAATAGGTTCTTGTTACATATTTGTTAGGAAACCGATTTGTGGAAAGTTCAAAGTACACAGCCATTGTTACTGTCAGCAAAAAAGCTTATCTTCCTATTCCCCAAGGTGGATTCAGCACAGTTATTCAGCTCTGGTGGCTAAGCTCTAAGCTCTGCCTTCCCCCGTCCCCTCCCCACAGGTGGGTGGGACAATACTGCCAGGTTGGCCTGATGTGGTCAGAGACAGTTAGCCACCCAGAAACCACTGAATCATGAATGAGTCTGTGCTGAGCCCCACCAGAGCCCTGGGCAGCATCTCTGGGCTCCTGCAGGTGGCCTCCCTGCTCAGTCTGGTTCTACTGCTGCTCAAGGCAGCCCAGCTCTACCTGCGCAGACAGTGGCTGCTCAAAGCCCTCCAGCAGTTCCCGTCCCCTCCTTCCCACTGGCTGTTCGGGCACCAGCAGGAGGTAAGAGAGAACAGGACAGGGTATTGTGAGGGCAAGGGGGCCAGTGGCTCTCAGAGCATGGTCATGGTCAATAAGTCTGTAGGACAAAGCCTTGTTGTGTGAGAAACTGGGGCAAAACCCAGTTTACCCTCCAGATGGTGGCTCCTCATCCCATGTGCTGGTGCACTCAGCCTGTCAGATCCTCCTTCCTTAGGCAGATCTGCAGGCTATTTTGGGCAGCCCAGCACTCTGAGGACAATGGCTGTTCCTGAGTCTCCCAGCTCCAGGATCATAGAACAGAACTTCTAGATGCTTGTAGCCCATGTCCACTCAATTCCATCTCCTTTGCCTTGCCCTGAGCTTCCTGGGACACAGACGTAGGTGTCATGGATTCCTGCCTGTGGTGTTCTCAGTCTGTGGAGTCTTTAGACAGGGATTTAAAAAAGGTGTCAAGTCACAGGAAGAGAGGCTCACCCACAGGTGGCTGCAGGTAAAATCAGAAGTAGGGGACCCACCAGCTTGGATGGCCTGAGACTGTGCGACTTTTCAGACTGGTGATGGCAGTGCTAAAACCCTGACAAGTTACTGGCACAAATGAGCAGGAAGGCTTCCAGGATGGTCTCAGTAAGGAGCACTGATATTTGAGTTGCACCATTAAAAAGAGTCTCTTCCCCCAGCTCAGCTCTCATTCCTCACACCGCTGGCCTGTGAACTCCTTGGGGCTGAGAATATCAATCCCCTTTCTGTACCCTCAGACCCAGCACAGTCCCTGATACGAGGGATGCTTGACCCCGGTGTGCGGACTAACAGAGAAAGTAGCAGCTTGCAAGTTGGGTGACAGACAGGGCTACCCAGCCAGCTCTGTTAGCACTAGTCTCTGGGGGAAGGGTGCAGATCAAGGGCTTGCATAGAGGGGACTCACCAAGGCCTTGTGAACTGAACAAACCTGAGGAGAGAAGGAGGCCAAGCGATTATCCGTAGAGTGGAGCCAAAAATGCAAACTCTTCATGGCAGCCACAGAAAGACAGCCAACGCCCGCTTTGTTCGTGAAAACTATGGTACTAATGACTTCCAGACTATTTCTTGATTTGGAGGATCTGTGACTTTTGTTGATGTACTTGTCACCTTCCTGAGCTAGGGTTTGACGGAGGGTACTACTACAAATTCCTCCTGTGATTTTCTCATTACGCTGATGGCCTTAGATTACTTGTAGATTCAGTAAGTGGATATTTATATATTTATATAACTAATATTATTTATGGTATGAAACATCACTCAAATTCTGCAGTCAAATTTTCCTTGCTTTTAGAATACTGCCTGAGATTTTCATGTACTCAATACCTCTATTATTGCCTAAGTCAGGAATTGAATGCCACATGTTCCATGCACATTGAAGCTAACCTTTCAGACCAGATAACAAGTGACAAGGACAGTTAATCATATGTGCCCTGTAGCCGAGCTACCTAGATTCATATCCAAGCTCTGCCACATACTTTAAATGCCCGCTCTATGACTCGGTCTCTTCATCTGTAAGTTTGATATGATGACAGTTATAGCTCTCAAGTGCATTATTATAATGTTAGGATTGTGCCTGGCACAGACCAAGGGCCACCATTACACTACTCTAATTTAAATGAATTTAAAATAATTTTAATGCCTTTGAAGGACAACCATGTTGAAGGTTCAAGGTGACTGCATTAAGTACAGGTAGAATCCCACAGGGACTATAGGAAGGGGAACTAATGTCTTTGGGATTCAAATAACCCAAACTGCCCCATTGGGCCCCCACCCTACCCTTTGTTATTTCTCTGAAACAGGTGTACCTACCATGCCAACAGAACCCACATCTGACAATTGTTTTTGTGGCCACATCATTCCCTGCCCACCTACTTTCTTTGTGGCTATTATTCCTAGGATCATCCAGTTGAGGACAACTCCAGGGCAGCACTACTTGCTTGGAGTGGCCAAAGCCTGGGGGTCAGGTGGGCACTGGGTGTTTACCTACAGGATTGTCACTCCTGTCACCATGGGCACCATCCCCTCTACAAGGGTTTCAACTGGCTCTGGCCACACATGCTCTGGGACAGATGACAGTCCCAATTGGTTGACTGGAGAGCAGCAGACCAATGGATGCCCAAATGAGCTAGAGAAAAAATATGGAAAGGCAGCCCTGACTGGTTTGCCTCAGTGGATTGAATATCGGCCTGCGAATCAAAGGATCACCGGTTCAATTCCCAGTCAGAGCACATGCCTGGGTTGTGGGCCAGGTCCCATTGAGGGGCCACACAAGAGGCAACCACACATTGATGTTTCTCTTCCTCTCTTTCCATCTCCCTTCCCCTCTGTCTAAAAATAATAAGTAAAATCCTTTTTAAAAAAGGCAGAATTAGCTTCCCTGGGATCCCAAAGGGAAGTAATGACAATGCCCAGGAGCAGAATTTTCGGAAAGTTGATAGGCTTGGGGCCCAAGGGATCAGAAGAAGGCATGCTACTGCATTGAAACAGGGTCTCCCAGACCCCTTCTGGGACAATAGAAGGGGACCTTAGAGGACCAGCTAACATAGCTGGGTGGTAAGAGGCTCCCATTGGTCAGTCCCCACCTTGGATCAAAGAAGAAGGGCAGTCCCAATAATGCACATGACCTCGGAGCAGAAAGTATCCTTCTTAAGCACTTCAAACAAGACACTTCTCAGGTGACAGCAAATTGTCTCCCACCCCCGCTCAAACATAAACTCCATTATAGCAGAGACTGTACGTGTTCTCTGCTGAATCTCTAGCAACTAGGATGGCAATCAACCCAATGTGCTCAAAACATAGTTATCAAATAAATGAATTACTGAATCTATCTGCTCATCTGCTCATTTGTGTATTTCTTCATCCACTATAGTGGAAAACTTTTAGGATGTCTTCCCAGATCACCTGCTCTGAGATAGCTTTCCCCACAAAAGGTGGGTCCCTACATGCCCTATTCAACCCCAGCCACAGTTGTCTGTAGCAGGTGAACACACTGGCCATATTACAATCAGGATTTTAAATAAGATTCACAATGCACCTCACTGTGTGTGGTAGATTAGTGCCAATCGGGAAGTGTACAAGTGCTCTTCTTCTCCCCAAGGACCCAGTTCAGTGAGCACAGAGACTGTTGTCTCTGCCTGTGACTGTATTGCCAGCTTCTAGAAAATTTTCATGTAGACCCCAGTAAACACTTGGTAAGAGAAGGAAACCATGTACATACAGAGAGGAAGAATCAGTGACTCAGTCCTGGCCGCTCTCCAGTCCCTGTTTCTGCCCCTTCTATACCCAGGCTGCCTCCTGCTCTAAGCTCTGTCAAACAGCCTGGGGCTCTCAGCCTTCTCTTTGTCCCTTTTCTCTTTCTTACATTAACTCAAAATTATATCTCTCACTTGCAACAAAAATTTTAATCCAGACTCATTCATTCACTCTCCTACACATGTGCATTCATTCCTTCTCATGCTTCTTTGTTCTTTTAAAAATAATGCATAATTCCTAAAATCCATGCTCTAAGAAAACAGAGATTACAGATATTAAAGGTAAGTTTGCCAACATGCAGCCCAGCAATTACAAGACGGAGTTGAGATATGATAATAGAGAAACACCCAGGTGACTATGGGAATGCTGGGGTCAGCAGGTTTTGGTGTAAATTCAGCTCACCTGGGCATATCCTTTCAAGGTTACCTCATTCTTCAGTGAAACAGGATAAAGTAATAATCCATTCCCACTCATAGGTGTGCCTTAATCATTACACTACCGCACAGCTTTGTTAGGGCTGCTTGACAAACTGGGTGGCTAAAACAACAGAAATGGAGATCCTCACAGTTCTGGAGACTAGAAGTCCTAAGTCAAGATATTGGTAGTGTTGGCTCTTTCTGAAGAGTGTGAAGGAACAATGTGCTCAAGGCCTCTCTCCTTGGCTAGTAAACCACTATCTTCTCCACATGTCTCTTCATATCATCTTCCCTCTTTGAGTGACTATTTCTGTGCCCAAATTTCCCCATTTTTATAAAGATACTTATATTGGATTAGTGGTCACTCTAATGACCTCATTTTAACTTCATTACTCCTATAAAGACCTTATCTTGAAATAAAGTCACATTATGACCTACTAGGGATTAAACTTTTCAACATATGGATTTGAAAGGAACACATCTGACTAGTAACTCTAACATAAGTCTGTGATAAAAGCTAGTGCACCATTCAGTCCATAGCTAAACAGTTATCAAACATGTACTATGTGTAGCTCCTAAGGGCCGTTCTGAGTGAGGGTTCAACCAGAAGCCAGAATCTGACCTTAGATCAAGTCTTGATGAAGAACAAGGATCCAGATCACAGCCTGGCTCATCAGATCAGCTTCAAGTTCCCAATCACAGCTGACAGACCCAGAATTATCTCCCTGTGGTTGTCCTACACTTCACTACTTCTCCAAACACTAGAACTAAAGGGAAATGTTTTGTTGATTTGTCTTTCCCTTCCTTACAGTTCCAAGAAAGCCAGGAGCTACAACAGCTTCAAAAAAGGGTAGAGGAATTCCCATGTGCCTCTCCTCGCTGGCTGTGGGGGAGCAAAGTCATCTTTCTGGTTTATGACCCTGACTATATGAAGATGATCCTAGGAAGATCAGGTGAGAGCGAAACCTGCATTGCAGCTGGAGCAGCTCTTTCCTCTGTGTTATGAAATTCCAGAGGAGACTTTAGTTCTGTCTTCATTATCTGAACCCTCTACCAACCAGCCTCCAAGACCACAAATCACCTTGAGGTCAAGAATATCAGCCATAACTAAATGCTTAAACAGCCTGCTGGGTCAATTTTTTTCTGTACTTTTTAGTTATTTTTTAGTTTCCTTCTTTCCTTCCTTCCTTTCTTCCTCCCACCCCCTTCCTTCCTGACTCATTCTCTCTTTTCCTTCTCCCTTCCTTCCTTCCTTCTTGCCTTCCTTCCTTCCTTCCTTCCTTCCTTCCTTCCTTCCTTCCTTCCTTCCTTTCTCTCTCTCTCTCTCTCTCTCTCTTTCTTTCTTCCTTTCTTTTTAACCAAATTGAGATGATCTGCTATGTAAATTTCCCCAGACATGAATTTCCTATCAACGCTGACTTAGGTTTCCCACTTCTAACTGTTGCCTATCCTGGATTCGTAAAACCACCACAAAATGCAGGAAGACCACAGAATTCACTGATTTCTCTGGCTGAGGATAAAGCCCATATTTCTGGCTGATTGACCATCTTAGTCCTATGGGTGTTCTGCTGCTGGGACACTGAGTCTGTCTTCCTGAACCCACAGTGACTATTGACAGAGAAACTCGGGGATAGGAGGCATGTGGAAGTTGCTTGAGACAAACTACCAGCTGACAATCTCAGGAAGGGATGGCAGCTCATGGTCCAGATCACGACCGCCTCCTAGGAGCTCTCTGCCTTGTTGGGACCCATCTAGTTTCTTGTCATGCCCTTTTTGACCTTTCAGACCCAAAGGCTCCTGGTTCATACAGATTTCTGGCTCCCTGGATTGGTAAGTATATCTAACCAGGACTGTGTGGTCTCCCTGCCTTACCAAGAACTATCTCTCTTGCTCACAGAGAACAACAGGTAACCAGCACCATATCACCACCCTCCCCTCTAAATCAAGCCTCATTTCTCTTCTAATAAAACCCTCACCCATTCTGGGTCATGCTATGAGCACCACTGAAACTCAGCTTCTTCCCATCATTTCTCATGGCTCCCCAATGTTTTCAGAGTGACAATTCTTTACGTTCTTCTATGACCTGCCCCCCACCCCAACTCTGTTTCAGCCTTCATCTCACATAGGTCATCCCATGCACCTTCCACTTTGGGAAATTCACATTCCTGAAAAATACTAGCTTTTCCTGTCTTTGCCCATGATGTGCCTTCTTCTGACACCCTTGGTTTCTTCCAAATTGTCCCCAGTCATCCTGATTCTTCTCACCTCTCTCCACACACCTATCTGTGCTCCAGGGTATGGTTTGCTTTTATTAAATGGACAGACATGGTTCCAGCACCGGAGGATGCTGACACCAGCCTTCCACTCTGACATCCTGAAGCCCTACATGGGGCTAATAGCTGACTCTGTCCGAGTGATGCTGGTAAGTCTTACCCTCTCTCACCTGCACACACCCACTCACAGCACAACCCACATGGTCCATTTTAGGACATTTTGGTCCTTCAGACATCCATCAGATACAGCCAACCAGAACAACACAACCAATCTGAATTTACCATGACAGAGCTTCCCAAATGTGGATGGGACAGGAGATACCTAGGCCCCAGCTTGGATCACCATGACTTTGGACATTGCCAAGAGAAAGGAGGGCCATGGAAGAAACAGGGTCCACTCTCCTCTCACCATGTCTTTAGCACAGTAGACTAGAACAATGGTCCTTCACTTTCACATAAGACAAACTGCTACTGGCACTACTGAGTAGCAGCTTCAGTGACAGGGTGGACATCCCAAGGTGTCATTCAGGTGGGTTCTGGCCTGGTATTCAGGTCTTCAGCAAAAAACTGAGCCACTCCATGGAAGGAAGTAGAGAATACATCCTCACTCACAGAGCTGGATCCTGCCATCACATCACCTGTTACCTGATCTCTGATCAACAACTATGCTCATTTGATGAATGAAGAGAATTAAAGTCCCTTGTCCCTCCCTCAGGAGCCCTAGTACTGGTCATTTAGGGTTCCTCTTGCCTTCACATACTTGCTACCCAGTGTTAAATTGCACCAGGTGTCCCTCAGGTCTAGCTCAACCTCAGACAAGATTCCCTGTTTGTCCCCTGAGAAACAATGTTTTCCAGTCTGCTTAAAGGTACTTACCATCATAATTTATTCCTAAAATCCAAAAATATATCAGGCCATTATGAGAAAACCTGTCTAATTATATAACAAAGGTTCTGAGAATATACTTCTCATTTTATCATCACTTGCTTCACAGTCTCAATATGCTATGATGTCTCTGTTCTGAAAAGTGAGGGATTCAAAACAGGTGTCTAGAGAGACAGAGACACAGTTTAGCTTTGTCAGCAGAGGCCATCTACGACAGTAGAGTGGGCTCAGTATTCCCCTCCTACCACAGGACAAATGGGAGGAGCTCATCAGCCAGGACTCCCACTTGGAGATCTTTGAACACGTCTCCTTGATGACCCTGGACACCATCATGAAGTGCGCCTTCAGCCAGCGGGGCAGAGTCCAGACGGACAGGTCAGTGATGACCCCTCAGCTGTAGACTTTTTGTTTCTATCAACTGATAAGGACTCACTGGAGAGGGAGTTCAGGCAGTAGGGAGCAAGAGCCTTTGGAGAGCTGCTGGCCACGGACAAATTCCAGTCCAGACCAAACCTTGACTCAGCCACAGATGCCTGATCCCTGGCACAGGGTCAATCCTGGTTGTTCATATCACTTGTGAAGGACTGAGAGTCTCAATTTGTATGACAGAATTGATGAACGCCTCAGTGTCACCTGTCCCCACTATGCATGAAAACGCCCACTTAGAGCCCTCCTACACTGCAAGGACAGAGGCCTCGCAATACACTACTCTTTTCCATTCTTTCTCCCTTCAGGAACTCCCAGTCCTACCTCCAGGCCATCACTGATATGAAAAATCTCTTTTATTCTCGAGTGAAGAATTTCTTTTACCAGAACGACATCATCTACAGCCTGACCCCGGAGGGCCGCTGGAACCGCCGGGCCTGCCAGCTCGCCCATCAACACACAGGTTGGATCCACCTGCTGGGCTGCTCCTGTCCTTCCTTAGGCACATCTCAAAGGGACTGGCCCTGACCCTCAGGAAGAGCCAGGCCCCCTGCTGCTGGCTCTTTGGGAGCTGCGACACACCCACACAGGTTACGTCCCTGGTGAAGGGCTTGGGAACTGAGATGTACTTGTGCCAGGGCCTGTGCGGGGGTTGACCTGTGTCACCAACTGCTGATGTCACCCGCTGCAAGCAGCATTCAGCAGAGCCAGGTCCATGGGTGTGCTGCTGAGAGGAGGCCTGACTTGCGATCAGAGGGTGCTGGAGCTCACCCCACCGATGTGCACACCCACTCCCACACTCATCCTGACTCATGGCACCCAGGCTGGAGCAGGGTCAGGGCCAGGTGGGTCCACAGTGGGTTGCTGTTACTGGGCACCCTGAGCCCTCAGCTCTGCCTGGGGTCCACTGTCTTGAGACAGATCGAGCGATCGAGCTGAGGAAGGCATATCTGCAGGAGGAGGGAGAGCTGGAGAAGGTCAGGAGAAAGAGGCACTTGGATTTCCTGGACATCCTCCTCTTTGCCAGAGTGAGTGTGTGTAGGATGAGCCTGAGGCTTCGCCCACAGGAACAGAAGAAGAAACAAACCCTGCACTCTCTCCGTGCCTTCCCCAGATGGAAGACGGGAACAGCTTGACTGACAAGGACCTCCGTGCCGAGGTGGATACATTCATGTTCGAGGGCCATGACACCACAGCCAGTGGCATCTCCTGGATCCTCTATGCTCTGGCTGCACACCCCGAGCATCAGCACAGGTGCCGCATGGAGATCCGGGGCCTCCTCGGGGACGGCGAGTCCATCACCTGGTAAGAGCTCAAGAGATGGGCGAGCTCTGCCCACTCAGCTACACAAGAAGCCTGGGTCTGCCTGGGCCAAGCCTGTCCTCACATTGGGCTGCATTCATTTCAGGAATCACCTGGATCAAATGCCCTACACCACCATGTGCATCAAGGAGGCACTGCGACTCTACCCACCTGTTCCAAGTGTCAGCAGAGAGCTCAGCAAGCCAATCACTTTCCCTGATGGACGCACCTTACCCAGAGGTCTGGACTTCACCTCACTCGCTAACCTAGGCACTGTGCAAGAACAGATTGCACATCAGATCCACATGTCCTAGAGTAGTTCTCACCTGTCTAGTCTTCTTTCTTCATCATGAAAGGGAAACTTACTTTCTAGTTTAGATAAGGAATATAAAATGCCTGGCACACAGTTCAACCACAGACAAAGTTCTATAAATACTAGTTCCCCGTTCTACTCATTGAGAATAAATCATATCGGTACATTTCCCTAAATAGGTTCCAACTCAATTCCGACATCTCACATGAATAGAATCCCAAACTTCTATCATTCATTCTCCAGGACTAGCACCCATCACATTTAGAGTCCATGGTTTTATGACTGCACAGTAATTCCATTCAATGGCACTGATGTTCTATGATTGTAACACTCCATGCTCCAGTCCCCCCTCCATCTTACAAAACTCTAGGGGCAATTCTGTCTGCATTGTCACATCTATTTGAGTATCCTCTATATTTGATGCAATGTGTGTATAATTCCTTTGTGACAAATGCAAATCTCTCTAGACATACCAGTTCATATAATAACTCTGTCCATAAAATGTTCTTCACGAGGAGATGTACTCTGAATGAAGCTTCCGGAATTTCCCTTTAAAACTCTAGTTTTCTGAGACGTGAGTTTTGTCCAGACAATCAAACAGGGGTAGGGGTAGATGTGGCTTCCTCCCGCTGGGGTCTAGGCGGAAGAGGAAGATCAGCACATCCACTGCCATGGGTCAGGTCGTTTAATATCTGAAAGAGCCCTCAGTTTGATGGCAGAGAGTAGGTGATGACCAGATACAGGACTCCTGCCGTTTTTGGAGACCGCCTCATGGCTCACCTTTGGTCTGAATCTCAACCTTGACATGTCCTAGCTGCGACACTCATAACATAGGCAATGTGCTCAGCCTCTAGGAAGCTCAGGTGCCTCATCAGCACAGTGGGACTAGGAGTGTCCTCCTTGGGGAGCAGTTGTGAGGATTGAATGAGTCAGTGCACAATCCCCAAGGGCTCATGGAGGGCATGATAAATCTGAGTTTTAACTTGAGTTGCTACAGAAAGTAGGCCTTCAATTCCTTCTTGCTTCTCAGTCCTGGGACATGGTTATCTACTCCTAATGTGAGCACATGTGCCTTGTCATGTCCACCCTCCTCTATTGCAATAGGATCATTCCACTCAGAGTGACACTCACTGTGACTCCCAAGCTTTTTGGACATGCACCTGCCCCCTGCTGGAATGTGTTTGATCAGTCTTCTCTCCTCTGCCTGCCCTGCAGGAATCCACATCACACTTTCCTTTTATGGTCTTCACCACAACCCAAAGGTGTGGCCCAACCCAGAGGTAAGACGGATGTGGGAAGGAGAATGGGCTGATTTCTATAGACTAACACCTCCTCCTGTTTCCAGCCTCGGGAGTCCTGTGGCCCCGTGGATTGGAAGGAGGGGCTGACCCTACCCATCCTGCCCTGGTGCTCTTTCTGCAGGTGTTTGACCCTTCCCGTTTTGTACCGGGTTCGGATCGACACAGCCATGCTTTCCTGCCTTTCTCGGGAGGATCAAGGTGAGGCACCTGTACTCAGTAGGGTGGAGGTGCATCACCGGATGCATACCCATATGTTTGTCATCTCCTATTTTTATATGTGGTTATTTATATATAGTTATGAGCTTGTAGGTTGATGTGTTGGATAGGAGACATTTGTCTATACGGCCAAAAGGAAGGGGACATTTCAGGCCAGCACACAGACACTTTACCCACAGAGTTTTTGCAAGCAGTTGATTACCCCTAATTTTATGATTTTTGTCAACGTCGGACTATGTAGACAGCGAAACTATGATATAAAAATCCCACTTCATACAAAGAATTTTTCCAACTTGAAAGGTTGTCACACTTATGTGAATGTTAATATGCAGTCAAACTTCTGGTGGGATAGACTGCAAAACCAGAGAGGCTTATATTGGTCTGCAACTCTCCAAACAGTTCCTTTCCCTATTTGCCACCCACAATTCAGTGTCAGTTGTTGTTTTAAACTTCAGTGACGCTGGTGTTTTCTTTACTTCAGGAATAACAGATTCTCAAAGTTAAAATTTTTCATAAAAATTTAACTTGGCTTTGAGTGAGAGGGTTATGAGCGGGGGATAGGTAGCAGGAATGTATAGGTAATCTAACTACATCAGTAGCTTAAACACCCAGAGAATAGGTGTTGTTTAAAGAAGGCAATGGCAGGAACACATCGAACTGCTTGGGTCTGAGATGAGCAAACATTGTGGTGCCAGGTGGGATTCGGGTCAGGGCCCAGGAACTTTGTAAATTCCTTCCCAGCCTTGAACTGGTTGTCTGGTATAAGATTAACAGAGCTTGAGGGAGAAACAAAGCATGCTTCCAAGGAGTGTAATTTATTTCTAGGCCTGATTTCCCCCGGAGGCCCTCAGAGTTATTATCGGGTCTTGCCTCTCAACTGCATTACCAGTGTTCTGGCCAAGTCTTACGGGTCCTCTCCCAGGCCCCAGCTTGCGTGGGACTACCAGTTTCTGATACCACTTAAAGTGGCCCCCTACAACTGATGAATGTCAAGGAGGGACATTTCATCAGTAGAGTAATAAGTCTACAGAAGCTGGTTGACTGAGGGCATGAGGAAGAGGCAGGAGTCTGGACCATCCATTGGGAGGCAGATGGTACAACTGGTTGAAGGTCACTGATCCTGAGTTAGCCCCATAGCTTCCCCCTTGACACCCAGATTTCCTTACACAGCCCCGTCTCTCATTCTTTATAAGGATCAGGGTCACTGTCATCCCCCAGCTGGTGAGGACCTGGGAGTGTGGCCCACCCCACTCCACATCATACCCTGACCTGACCTCCACATTGCGAAATCAGAAACTGATTGTGGTAGGAGTGAAGAAATCAATAATTAACTTGTCAATGATTCTTTTGACTCCACTTGGTGGGTTAGGGCAATGGCCTTCCACTAACAGGATTTCAGGCCTGCTGAGGGCAAAAGTAGGAGTTAGAAAAAGAAAAGTAGGAGTTAGTTACCACTCCTAAAAGAGCGATAGGCTTTGTCAAAGTTCAAGTACAGAATGTGAAACAAGACTAGAGGGATAGAAGTGCACATGAGCTAGGAAAAAAAGGGAATCGGAATGAGTCACGTTGAATGCCTTACTCCTCACAGGGGCTCAGTGGCCAATGGCTGCCCAGCTCGAAACAGGCTTTAAGACCACTTCTCGTGTTGTTTCTCCTCCTGGGCCCAGGAACTGCATTGGGAAGAATTTTGCCATGAACGAGCTGAAGGTGGCCGTGGCCTTGACCCTGCTTCGCTTTGAGCTGGCCGTGGATCCACTCAGAGACCCCATCCCAGTACCAAAAGTTGTGTTGAGTTCCAAGAATGGAATCCACCTGCAGCTCAGGAAGCTCCTCTAATCCATTTGGGACAACAACAAGCTCTGAAGATCTCCTTCCTGCCATCCTGTCTCCCTGGAACGTGATGCTATGCTCTGTCAATCTTACCAATTCCTGCTTTCCATCTGCCTACCTGCCATTCTACCTGACCTCCGTCTGGCCCTCTGACGGTCTGCCCCTCTAACCTGTCATTCTCACTTTCTGCCTGGTTGTCTTCCCTGTAGTAGCCTCCTTTAGTTGCTGTAATTTACTATCACCTCAGTGACATAACACACCACCAACTTTCTCTTAGGGCCTGGATTCATAAGTCCGAAATGGGTTTCACGGGACCACAACCAACATGTTGGCAGGGCCATGCTGCCTCCAGGGCTCTAGGAGAGAAGTCCTGCCTTTGTCTTTCAAGCATATAATAAGCTGTTTATTATAGCACCTACAAATATCTCTCTGCTTCTGTCTTTACATTGCCTTCTCTTTTATAAGGACATTTGTGACTACATGGACTCACTCAGATAAAAGAAGACATCGTCACACCTTGCAGGGATTAGACCGTGGACATCGTATGAGCCAGCATTCGGCCTAATTGGTCCCTATGTGACTGCCATCAGTTCATGTTCCCAGTTGCCTTCTCTGTGTTTCCTGTCTACCCATTTGTCAATCTCACACCCTCTCCTTCTTTCTTCCTCCCCGGATTACAGTTCACAATGTCATATGTAGCGCCTGTTATCCCTTGGGAGGAGCTAGATGGAGAGAAGCAAGGGAGAAGCAGGGTTGAGAAGAGAGACAAGACAACGCATGGAGATATCTGCTCTGCGGTGCCAGGACCCATCACTTCAGAGACCAAAGAGGGGACAGCTGTCCAAGAGGGATTAGAGGAGCCCAGGTGGGCAGGTAGCTGTGGCCCTTGAAAGAGCATGGCAGAGGACAGCTGGTGACGCATTCCCACAGGACAGGATCTGGCAGTCCCCTGCATGTCTGGTCAGGTACCCTAAGGACAGAGGGGCTTCTCCAACTCTGCCACGTTTGGTGACTGTGCTCTGTTCCGGTTGTAGTCCTCCACCAACCTTTCCCAGCCCAGCCCCGTTCTCCTGCTGGTTCTGTACACAGGTTCTCCTGTGTCCCTCCCTAGCCATTCCTAGCCTAGGCTCCTGGATGCCATGCAGCGACCTCTAGGCGCCACTGTGCCCGTGGTTGGGGAGCCTCCTTCTGCCTCCCTGAAGGGCTTATTCCTCACCTGGTACCTTTAGCCAGGATCTCCCGTCCATTCCCTTGAACTCCTGGGTCCCTGCACTAGTTCAGCGCTCTAAGAAGGGCAGGATGGACAGTCAGTGCTTGACTGAGACAGAGAGCAAGAAACAGAGGTGGGAGCATCCTCGGCAGGGAGTTCAGCAGGTCCCTTGGCATCAGATGGTGCAGAAGGGCTCGGTGGCCATGTTCAGAGAGCGCAGGACAATGGGGACTTGGAATTCGAGGTGGAATTCAGCCAAGCCCAAGTGCTCTAACCACAGCATTCCACAGGGGTGAGGACAGGGACCAGGGAGTGACCCAGCTGGCTCAGGAAATGGGAAAACCCAAGCTGAGTTCAGGCTCACATGCACAGCCACCTGACGCACACACAGAGACACACCTGGACAGCCACACCTGTATGTACCCTCGCTCACTGTAATGGGGTAACAGTGGTAACTGAACCCTGTCCCCCAAAATAGGGGTGGGCTTGAGTTACAGACACTTGCATTGCCCTGGCAACTAGGGCGCTGCGCCACTGCTACTGGCGCTTGCAAGGGATTCATTTTAAAAAGGCGGGGTGGCATAGAAAGGCGGCTCCTCCTTTTGGTCTCCCCTTCTTCCTTACCAGGGCAGAAGCCCTGGGCCCCAGATATTAGGGACTGTACAAGGGGAAAGGAGGAGACTCCGCCTGTTAGGAGCAGGACCCCCCTGCCCCCAGCTTCACATTTAAATCTCATTACAACACAGCACACGGCTGTCAATGGCAGGTCCCCAGCCTCTGCCCTAACTTGCCACCTCCCTCATCTAAGGCTTCAGGCCCCACACCCCTCCCATGTGAGGGTGGGGGGAGGGAGGTTGGCCAGTACCTGGCAAGCGTTGCCAGTGCACACCTGTAAGTGGCAACACAAAGGGGACAGTGCACCTCGGGTGGCAGGCCTGGAGGCACACCTCTGACAGATGCCTGAAGCTAAACAGTGACTAGAGGCCAGCTAAGCCACCTACGTTTATGATACTTTTGGGTGGGAGAAGAGGTTCCTGGCACAACCAAACACTGAGCTGGCAGAGGGTGACAGGGAGATTTTCCTCTGTGTGACTTAGACCAAAGTGAGTATGCCTTCCTTAGTTGCACATTTTTATTCTTGAGTTATTTCAGTTCTTGAATCTGTGAAGTAGTTGCAATGACAAACACTTAAATAGCTTTTTCTTTTCGATTGTTAAATAAAAGATTCCTTTCATTTCCACCAAACTCTGTGTTTGGAGCTTTGCCTCATAGGCAATGACCAGAAGGACGCATCCTACCGGCTGTGTAACACGCCACACTGTACCACACACGTGCACACAGTAGGGTGTGTTAGAGAGCTGGAAGCATGAAGCGGACCCATCTCTGGCGCTCTCGGGTCCCAACCTCAATACTCCTCTCCCACACGGAGCCTCCCCTTTCCCTCCGGCTCAGAGCTCTCAGCTCTATTTCTCACCATCACAAGCCCTCAGAGAGTCAGTACTACCTATGGAGCTTTGGTCAAAGGGGCCCAGAGTCAGGCGTTCAGTCAGGCTCCTCCCTGGTGAGCATCTTGGCAGGTTCCTTCCCTTAGTATTGAAGAGGGATAACAGCCTCCTCCACTCTTGGCTCACAGGCCTCCTGACTGTCCCAATATAGGGAAAAAAAGACACGTCTTGCACGTCAGCGCCACCCATGGGCCAGGGTTGGTCAGGACCACTGAGCTCAGCTCCCAGGAGACAGCTATTGAAAAGGTACTTTCACTTGTGCGGGGAAAGGTGTGTCCAGGGCCAGGGCAGAGGGGGACATTGGTGGCATGGTGAGCACTCTCACTAAGGTTTCTGCATCCCAGCCATAGGTGGACAAGGACGTCGAGGTCTTAGCGGGGCTTTGCAGGAGCGAGCAGGTGCCCATGGCCCACCTTCCAGGGCTGTGGGACCAACAATGGGAAGGATGGGTCTTCAGAGGGTCCGTCCTCATAGCAACATAGAAACATCCCCACGTCCCAGGGCTAGAATTCTCCTTTCTTGCTCCTCCCCCGGTGTCAGGAGCCCTCCCTTCCGCACGCGTCTAATTCCCGGACTGGAGCTCGGTAATGTCCTTCGACCTTGAACCCTGTTGGTATATGTGCCCCTGAGAGAGCTGCTGCAGGGACTACTGGGGAAGGATCCTTGATTCATCCTGCTGGCCAGCCTGAGGTTCCCCCCAAAACGCCTTCTTTGCACCTCATACCTCACCCTGCCTCACGGCCTGATTCAAACACCTCTTCCCGTAAGCTCCCCTCTCATGTCATTCTGCAAGCTTCACCAACTGCGGCCCATACAACCAGAGCACCGGGTGACTGCGACACAGACATTGATGACGGCAGCACTGCCACAGAAACCCATCTCAGGAGGGTAGAAAAAGTACCTGTGAAATCATATTCCATCTTGTTTAACCTTGGCAGTGGTTACCTGGGTGTGTGCTTTAGAAATTCATTGTTCTGGACACTTTTGCTTTTCGCAAATATTCCTTCTGCCATTTTCCAAACACACATGCAAAGTTCAACAAAGACACCTGTCTCAGTGACAAGCCCCAAAGCCATCCCTCTGTTGTTTAGACTGGGAATGCCTGCTCATACCCGCAGCTTCCATTGTATTCACTGTGTGACCCAGGCTGGAATGTGCGTTTCTGCTTCATTCTAGAAGGAGTATCAGTTACAAAAGGAAAAGGAAGAGGCTAGAAGAGAGTAGGATCTCACCGCATGTTTGCTGAGTAAATGAGCCAGCTCTAGGACACATGGACGGTAAGCATTCATAGACAAACATGTTTTCTGCCACCACCCTCGAGGTGACTGTCTAGGCGGGTCCCCACTCCCCTTCTGTATACAAGGCTCCCGAGGACAGGGAGCCACAGCTGCTCCCCAACCCAGCCTGGTGGGGCCATGCCCAGGGACAGGCCACAGCCTGGGCTGCTGGGGCCCCACTCTTGGCAGAGCTACTTCCCAGATCCTGGGTCCAGTGGCTTCAGGTGAAGGTAGATGCCATTCTTGGAGCGCAAGATCAGCTGTTGCACCTTGATGGGTGGCCGCAAGGGGTCCAGGGCGAGCTCAAAGCGGAGCAAGCAGAGAGCTGTGACCACCTTCATCTCATTCATGGCGAACTGCTGCCCGATACAGTTCCTGCAGTGATCGGCACAAAGAGGCATCGGGCCGTGGGGTGTGCAGACTGATGAAATGCAGTGCTCTCAGTGGACAACAACAATCAATAACTACTTTGGGTGACTATTGGCTGAAAGGTTGGTCGACCTGGGCTTAGGAAACAGATTGTGGGTGCACGGTGGAACCCAGACTACTGGTAGGTAGAGTCACATTGGGGAATCTGGCTTGGGAGTCTCTTTTGCAGTGACGCACCCACCTGATCACCTGCTAGGGACACGAATGTGCTAAGAGCAAGAAGAAAGTCCTCGGACCTTGCCCTGTGTTAGAATCGACACATCCCAGGATGGTGACTCTAACCCAGGGTTCCTCAAAGAGTTGCCTTGCCCACAACACCCACCGCTCTTGCCTCCCCAACCCCGGAGATATTGGGCTTCTCCTTACCTGGGCCCAGCGGAGAAGGGTATGAAGGCGAAGGGGTGGCGTCTAGCCGCATTCTCAGGGGAAAAGCGCAGGGGGTCAAAGACCTGAGGGGACAGGCCTGGCTTAAATACATGTTAGGTCCTGAGGGAGTGTGACTCTCCACAGGCCCCACCCCATCTGACCTCCCCACACAGGAATGGGGTACCTCAGGGTCAGGCCACACGGCACTGTTCCTATGAAGAGCATAGATGTGCAGAGCGACCAGGCTGCCTGTGGGAAGAACAGAGCACAGGTGACCACGTGGGGCTGGGACAGCCAGGCCCACCTCCTCACAGGGCCAGAAACCCATCCTGCCTGCCAAACCAGACACCAGCCTCTGCCTCAAAACTGCTAGTGGCAGAAGACTCGTGACAACCCTCAACACACCGAAGTGCCTTAGATCATCTTCACACCTCCTTTCTGTAGCCCAGCATTGGGCATCGCATCCGACACAGACATTTGTGGAGTGGAACAAAAGAGGAACGACCCCCCCTCCACAAGGCAGGACTCACAAGGTCCGTGACACACTTTCTGCTTTCAATGAACTAACTCTCAAGGCAAGTGGTTCATAACACTATGCTCTCCATAGCGACCGCTATCACTCATTGCCTGTGGCCCACGTGCCAGGTTCAGAGGTGGACTTTCTTTATGAAGCCTCCGCGTAGCGTTGTACAGGATGGTCCAGCATAGCCTCACCGTCCATGTGAATGGTGCCTCCTGAAGTTGTTCAGGGCACAACTTGCGTGGTGATACGGGGCAGCCCTGACCATTTATTCCTGGCAGCAACCTTGTAAGGAAGGTCCTCTCCTCACGCCCCTTTTACAGAAGAGTTCATAGGGGCTTAGAGGTGGAGGGATTTACTCCTTTTACAGAGCCGGGAACGGACCCAGGCCAAACACAAAGCGTGAGTTCTTTGCTATGGGCACAAAGATTTGGCCAAAAGCACAGAGAGTGTCAGAGAAGCATCCTCAAGGACTCCGGTTCCAGCCCGAAATTCACCCTCTCCCACCTGTGGGTAGAGAGCGGCCATCCACAAAGGTGACAGGCTTGCTGAGCTGGCGGCCCACCTGAGGCACAGGCGGGTAGAGGCGGAGGCTCTCCTTGATGCACATGGTCAAGTAGGTCATCTTGGCCAGATCCTCCCTGCCAGTAAGACAACCAGGATTTTCTGGAGATGGGAAGCAGTGGGGTCCCGCGGGAAGACAGGCTCCAGCCCCAACTTCCCCTTTACCATCGCACACCCAAGGCTCAGAGGAACACAAGTGCTCCAAGTGTTCGGGCCAGACTGGACATGGGGTGGCCACTCAGACCAGCGGCTCTGACTCAACCTTACTCTATCCCTCCCTCATCTTCACTGCTAGGGGGGGAAAGCACAGGAATCTAGTGGTGTGAGTGCACCCAGCCATCAGAGACAAGGTCACCCCTGTGTCTCTGAGAGCCCCGCAGAAGCCCCACGAGAAACAGTCTTTTAGCTTCTGCTCACTTTTCCCTATGGAGCTGGACTGGAAAAGAACAGGGGCTAAGAGTCATTGTTGAATGCAGTAATAAATGCAGAAGCAAGGGCAAACGCCCAGCTGCCACTAGGAAGTCCAGAGGTCTGAGCAACACCTTATTATGCAGCCCCTAGGTCTTCCCCGCAGTGTTCTTCTTTCATTTGTGGTTTATTGTTTTATCGAATAAGCCTCCTTTAAGTTGCTTCAAGTTCTACACAGAATGAGGTGAAAATAAGTTAAGTACTGGGTTGGCCAAAAATTCCATTTCGATTTTTGCATTAAAAAAATGGCACCTGTTTTTCCATTTTCACCAATAGCTTTATGATTTGGCTATTTTGATTATGTCACCTATCTCCTGCGTGATATAATGCGGTTTGTTCTCAATGTCTTGATTTGATCGCTATCAAGTTCATCTGGTCTCCCTAAGCAGGGAGCATTGTCCAGCAAGAAATCTCCAGCACGAAACTTCACAAAGCAGTTTTGTAGGTTCAATCAGTCACAGCACGTTCACCATACACCGCACGAGTCTATCTTTGTGTTTCTGTTCCTTTATTACCTCGCTTGAAATAATAAATCATAATATGCCAGAAATGTTGTCGATTTTCTTCCATCCTTAATACTAAAATGGCTACACAAAAATTCACAAGTTTTGTTTTTTAATGCATGCTGTATGGCGGGTGTCAAAATCCAATCTAACAAAATTGTTTCAAATGAATTTAAAGAAAACTAAGTACTACTAGAGCCATCTTACAGAAAGAAACAAAAACCTTTGGTCCAACCCTGTATTTCATCTCCCTGCTTCCAGGCATGTTCATGTCTTACCCAGACCAGAATGAGGGCTCTCTTTCCCTTCGCTCAAGTTGCACATTCCTTACGAAGCCAACTTAAACCCCACCCCTTCTGATTTTCTGATTTCTCTTCCTGCAACATGGTGTCACTTATTCTTCAGTTTTCTCTAGCTTTTCAGTTATGTGAGTTAATCTCCCTAAACGCTGACATGGGCCGCAAACTGAGGAGTCAGGTTCTATCATCAGGGGCAACACACAAAAAAATCGGCCTCCGGTTGACCACCTTGCCTACACTACTCACATCTGAAAAGGCTCTGTTGTGGGAGAATGGGCTCAGGGGTGCATCCACACACCGGAGGTAACAGCAAAGCTGCCACTGTCCTCACCTGGTTTCCCTCAGGTGGCCCTGTGTCATCTGTGATGACACCAGAAAGCACGGGCGCAGCTCTTCCCTGGAGCTGAGCTGGACAGACTGGCCTCACCCGCAGACTCACTCACCACTGGATGGTGTTCCTGTCCCCGAGGACCTGACACACCTCCTCCCGACAGCGATGCTGGTGCTCTGGGTACCGGGCCATGCAGTAGAGAAGCCAGGAGATGCCACTGGTGGTGGTGTCATGGCCTTCAAACATGAACGTGTCCACCTCAGCCCGGAGGTCAGCGTCCGACAGCCTGATGCCACTTTCATCCTGGGTTAGGGTAGGCATAGTGGAGCAAGCCAAGGCATTTGGGGTTGGGACTAAGAAATCCTCGTAACATCAGTTGTAAAATGAAAGTCCAAGGGAGGTAGAGAAAGCTGTGTTTCAGACTGAGGTTAGGACCTTCCCCCAAATTCCTGTCTGATCTCCCATCCTTACCTTGGATACCGCCTACTCCAGGGAGCCTTTCCTGACCCCTCTGGCCAAGTGACCTGGGACATTACCCAGCATGGACTCTTGATGCTGTTCATTTGACACACAGAAAGCCACCTGACATAGGGAGGGATTTTTCAGCATCCACCTCCTGTTTTCCCCGCTAGACTGTAAGCATCTGGAGGGCAGTGCCAGGTCTTTCTCCTCTTTTGAATCCCTAGCACGGGAGCTGACCCGGAGTAGCCTCTGTGAGTTTCTGGAGTGGATGGATGAATGAGTGAGTGAATGGATGAATGAATGAAGTCTCAGATTCTAAAATTCTCGGGCGCTGAGATTCTTCAGAATCTCATCCTCTGGAATTGGTCTTCAGACCTTCTGGCTTGTTACCCAGGATTCCTGCTGCTACATCTCTCCCCACTGCCACAGCCAGCCACACCCAGCACCGTCCCACCTCTGAGTCTGTGCTCATATGCGTCATCGACAAGGAACAGGTCCTATTTGCCGGAGAAAGAAGAGGAAAATGCCTAACTGCCCCGCTGCTGCGCAGTGATCCCTGCCCCTGCAGCATGATCCGAATATCCCTCTGGAACCGGTTCTCAGGAGGGGGATGGCAGCTGTGCACTCACTCGAGCCCCCAAAAGAATGTCCAGAAGATCCAGGTGCCTCTGGTTCTGGATCCTCTCCTGTTCCTTCTTGTCTTGCAGGGCTGCCTTCCGTTCCCGGATGACTTGGTCTAGGCCAGAAGTACAGGGTGTCACTGCCTGGGGACCCATCCTCTGCCCGTACGGGAACAGAATCCAGCAATGGGCAGGATCCCAGAGGGGCTCCGAGGAGCCCATTAGAACCTAGACTTCTTGTGGCTGGACCATGTGGGAGAGGCCCACCTGTGTGGTCGTGGGCCACCTGGCAGGCCCTCAGAAAACGGCGGCCATGTGCAGTCAGCTTGTAGATGAAGTCATTATGGTAATGGAAGGTGTGGATGCGCTCCTGTGTCAGCAGAGTGAGCTCCTTGACTGCCATGTAGTAGTTACTGTCCCTGCACAGCAGATGGAGGAGGAGGAGGCGCGCTCAGGCCCTGACCTGCAGCAGAGCCCCTCGCTGCTTCATTCCAGGAATCCAGCCCCAGCGTCACTGCTTTCTCCCTTCCTCTCCCGGCCAGTACGGCAGAATCTGTCTCCCCACCGAGGGCAAGTTTTGCTCTCCCCAGCAGGGGTTTCCTAGGGCAGGACCCAGTCTCCTCTCAGGCCATGGCCCAGGTGTCCCGCCAAGTCTCCCCTCTGAGCTGGCCTGGGGTGAGACTACGGTCACCCAAAAGTGCCTCTGACCTAAGGCTCAGGCCGCTGTGTCCTTTGCCGAAGATGCACTTCATGAGTGTGTCCAGCGCCATGTGACCCACATCGCCAAAGATGTCAAAACTCTTATTCTCACGAGCCTTTTCTTCCCACTTGTCCTGGAGGCCAGAGAGGGTGAGTGAAGTAGGGGACCACAAGGCAGCTTGTCCAGGCACCCAGGCCCTGGCCTGCCTACTGTCCTGCTGGACTGTGGGGGTGGGGGCAGGCAAAGCATCAGGCTCCAAGGCCAGGACCAGGAGGCAGGCCTTCCACAGCACCCACGGACACTTTCTCCCTGTCAGGGCAGCCGTGGGGGGCGGTGGTGAGCGCCCCAGCACAATGTGTGTGTCAGTCAGGCGGGCAACAATGCGGGCGGAGGAGTGTCCTGCAAGGGGAAAGACTACCCTGAATAACCTCTGGGGATTATTGGCACCTGAAATATGGAGCCTGACCTTGGCCCCTGGCATCCCTTTTAAGAATGAGGTGCCGTGCTGTTTTAGGCAGTTGCCGTAGAGAGGGAAGAGCCACTTTTTAAACATGGATGGCTTTCCTCATATTCCCAAATATAGGCGTCCTTCAAATCTACTATAGTAGGAGCCTTACTGAGTCCCACAAAGGCCTGTTGGTTTCTGCGGAGCATCTGGGTATCGGGACCAGACAAGGGCCGGGGACGCCTGGCCAATTGGAACCCCGCACCTAGACAGCACCCGGCAAGCAGAAGGTGTCAGGCACAGCAAGTCTCTGCACCGCTACGCGCAGGAAGGACCTCAGGGCCTCAGGGATTTTTGTCACTTCCCTCTCCCCGGGAAAACTGGACCAGACAGATTGGCCCGCAGCCCCCGCCTCCAAGGGCTTGGCAAGGGGAGCTCACGAGCATGGAGTTCGTGGATTCGGCAAACGCCGTCACATAGGGCTTCAGCACGTCAAAGTGGAAGCCAGGTGTGAGCAGCTTGCGGTGCTGGGACCACTGGGGTCCATGGAGGACCAGCAGGCCTTTCCCTGGGGAAGGGGTGGGAGAGGGAGGGCTAGTCAGTGCACACAATTCTGCCCCAAATGGGGCTAAGCAGGCCTGTCCCACCCGACCCCACCCTAGTCGTCCCAGCTCTCCCTCACACCCCGACCCAGCTCTGCCTTTCATCCACACAGCCTCTGGCGACACCAGCCTTGGGCCCCTGACCATGCCTTTCCTCGAGCCCTAGCCCTGGGCACTACCACCTGTAATATCTCCTAGGATCCAGTCTACAGCCACCTCCTTTTAGAAGCTCTTCCTCACACCCTCACATTTCCCTGACCCCTCGTCCTGCCTGTCCTGAGCTGAAGACACATCCCGCAGGAGAAGGCCCTACTTCCCAGGATAACAGACTGAGTGAGGGCAGGACAGGGAAGGATCCCATCACGCAGCACCAAGGGCAGGGAGGGTGACCACTCACCAATCCAAGGCAATAGAAAGTCGTATGTATCAGGGGTCTTAGGATCTGTAAGAGACAGAGAAGATCAGATCAAGCCAGGGTTGGGGGATTCCCCAAAAAAGCTCATTGAGAAATAGGATATGAATCTCAGCTGCCCAGACTTAGGGTGCTGGCCCAGGACTCCTCCCCGCATGGTCCCCTGAGCCCTTTGCTTTCAGGAGGTCCTCCCCTCTCCAGAGAATGCTCACCCCCTCGGCTGTACACGACTTTGGCATATTCAGGATCGTAGATGTTCAGGAAGCCAAGGAACCGTCCATACCAGAGTGGGTGGGCGTGAGGGAACTCGTGGGCCCAGGAAACAATTTTGTCCAGGCTCCCTGTCTGCTGGACCTGTAATGGTGACAGAAGGCCAGGCCACTCAGGAACCCAACATTACCAGGCACGTCCTGAGTCCCTCAACCTGCCCAGGAAGGCGCTGGGAGCATCCCTCCTTCCTCCTCCACCCCTTCCCAGCCTTTCACTGAGGCCTCACCATCTCTGGGCTCAGTCCCCTTTCCAGCCACAGAGCCACTGCTTCATATCCAAGCCCCTCTCTTACTGCACCTGGGTTGGCTCAACAACCCCCAAATGGCCAACCTGCTGCCTTCTACTGACTGCCACCACCCTCTATCTACACTGCAGCAAGAAAGACTTTTACTTTCAGCATTGCTTTTCATTAGAAAGACACCAGCTTGTTTTGCAAAAGTGAACCACCACGAGTCCATCCTGTTAGTAACTGGACACATTTCTTTGAGGACCTCCTATGCGCAGGACATTGTCTAGAAATCTCAAAAGAATGAGACAATCGTGATCCTGCCCTTTCATTCTATGGGGAAGACGTGACAAGAAACAAACAGTTAAGCAAAATGATTCAAACAATAGTAAGTTCTAAGAAAGACCTAAATGCTGTGCTGCAAGACAGACTAACACGGTGACCGGCTGGGATAAGAGCGATCCACAGGGCCACTGGTCGGAGATGACACTGAAGGTGAAACACGAAGGATGATAAGAGGCTGGTCATGTGAAGAGTAAAGGAAGGGCATTCCAGGTCCAGGGAGCGGAGGTACAGAGGCTCTGGGGTGGGACCCAGTGTGGTGTCTTCCAGGAACTGCCTCAGGGTGGGACAGCAGCTGGACATGAGTCTGGAGAGACCATTCAGAGGGTGGTGTGCGCCCTCTGGGGGTTTTACTAAGCACATCTACTCACCCAGACGTGTTCCTGTGAAAATAGAGTCTACAATAAATACCTTTCCACACCTGCCTTTTAAAAAAATTTAACGTATCTCCTCCTACTTTTCGAACTAGTGCATTTAACTGTCCGTCAGTACTTTTTTTTTTTTTAACAATAACATATGATTCCACTATAGGAATGTAACATAATGTATTTATCCATTTTCCCCTATTTTGAGAGACTCTTTCAGACCCTTCAGTGACCAGCCCGTGGGTCTCAGAATAAAGTCTGAGCTTCCTCATATGTGAGGAAGCACAGCTACTCCTCATTAAGCACTTGCTGTGTGCCAGGCACTCTTCTAAGCACCATACATCTTGACCTCATCCAATGGTTACAACAATTCTATTCGGCCCCCTTTTAAGGCAGAGGAGCCTAAAGTGCAGAGATCTGAGATTCCTTGCCGAGGACCGACGGCATGTCAGGGAAGCCGGATGGGAGACAGGAAAGGTGACTCAATGGCCAGCAACCTTCAGAGCTTGACAGACTTGGCTTGAATACAAATGTCCCCTGTTTTCTGGGTGTGTGAACTTGGGTAAGTTCTTTCAGCTCTCTCAGTCTTACTTTCCTCACCTGTAAAATGAGGCTGATAATACTTAGCTGACAGGATTGCTTCGGCATTAGAGAAATCATGCAGGGCATGTGTGTTATTAGGTGTTGTCATGTGCCGTTCGAGGCCCTTCAGTGATGAACTATGCACCTAGAGTTGCATTCTGCACAAGGTGTGCCCTCTGCAAGTAGTTCCCTCCCCTCCAAACCTACCTCTCCCCAACATCTTCCTCCAAGCCCCCTCCCTGCATCTGCTGACAGATCCTACTCCCAAATGCCCCAGCTACACTGAAAAATGTGCCCTGAACATTTGAGTGCCCTAAGATACTTCCACCTGGGGGTAAAGGACTAACCAAACCTTGTCCCCTGTCACATGGAAGCTGACCTTGGCTTACACTCCTCTAACTTTGTTTGTTTGGACACTTCATACCTGGAGGATGTCAACGGGGTTGTCGGCAACATGGCTCAAAAATGAACTTTGGTCGGTAAATAACATCTGGACTGCGAAGAACCATGAGTGAACGAGGAGCACCTGACAGAGACACATGCTTTGGGTTCTCCAGAGTGTGAGTGCATGGCCCTTGCAGGAACCCTGGGACAGACAGTGGGAGGCCATGGGGCTTGAGGATTTAAGACATGGTAGACACCACCCCGACATGGGTCTCATTTCCATGCCCCCGGCCAGCCGCGTAGGAGCAGGTGGATTGCTGATGGCTGATGTGGGTGTTGTGAGGAATGCCTGACACACCATTGCTGGCAAGCTGCCTGTATCCTCGGAGATGTCTGATGCTACCTGTGCCCATGGCGGCCTTGTGTGTCTGAATGTCTGAAACTAAGACAGCCTCCTGGAGGGTGGCACCCTGTCTGTGCCTTTGCTTGTTCCATTCCTTGCTCCACGTACACCCTCTAGCTGAGCACTGCCTCTTCCTGGACATAGAGTCTGAATGCCCTGCTCCAGGGACCTCTCTATCCTCCACCAGCTGAAATCTGCTTCCTCCCGGCCACTCCAGCACTGTTAGTACCGAACCCATGTTCTGCTTAGTGTTATACTTGCTTGCATACTTGGCCAAAGATGTTAATAATGTTCCTATTGGCATTCATTGATCATTTAACGTGGTCAGCACTGTGCTAATCCTGATATACAAATCCTTCTATTTAATGCTCAGAAAATCCTACGAGACAGACACTGTCATAATCCCCACTACACAGATGAGGTAGGGACTCTCTGTTTCGTGGTTACTTAGCAATAGAAGTGGAATTCATACCAGGACTCAAGCCTCCACTCTGGGCTGTGAGTTGCAAGGGCACAGCTCACATCTGCGGCACCTCCAGGTCACTGCAGGTCTTAGCACAAGGCCTCAGAAACTGTACGTAGTTGATAAAGTGTGTGTGGAATGAACAGAATGAATACAGGATATGAAAAAGAACAAAGACAAGATAGGAGGGGTGAGAGCACGCAAAGCATCTGGTCAATGGAAACTCTGGGCAGGGATCGTCGATCTCATGAGGAACCAGCCCAAAGTCTTGCTCAATCTGGAGAGTCAGTCTGCCAAACAGCATTGCAGATGTTTTTTGGTTTTTTGGTTTCTCCCAGGTGGCTCTAAATGCCTGCTCTGGCTAATCCAGATTTGGTGCTTGTTTCTACATTCTATCCCTGTTTTTTAAATATTAGATTTATTTATGTTAGTGAGAGGGGAAGGGAGGGAGAAAGAGAAGGAGAGACACATCAACGTGAGGGAGAAACATCGATTTGTTGCTTCTCTCACACACCTCAACCAAGGACCTTCCCACAACGCAGGCAAGTGCCCTGTTGGAGAACTGAACTGTCGGTCTTCTGTTTTGCAGGATGATGCCCGACCAACTGAGCCGCACCAGTCAGGGCTGCATTCTACCTCTTGACATAGAAAATGGAAGGGGACAGATATGTCAGGTACTACGTGAGTGAATTCATAGATTGCCTCGTGCAGAATGGATAATTACCCCCGTTTTACAGATGAGAAAACTGGGGCTCGGAGATACGATGACTTGCCTATTGCTTGAGGGTTAGTACCGCTCTGACTCAGGGGAGAGCCCTCACAGTCCCTTCTGCACAGTGAAGTCTGTCAGGGCTGCTGAGTTCAGTTGCATAAATTGTGTGCTGCACAGTCCGAGGGTGTGCCCTTCGTGTTAAGGTCTGTGCAAGTGCTGGCCCTGCTTTTCCTTCCTGTAAAGTTCCCTTGCAGGGTCCACACCCACGCAACTAATTCATGTGTCTTCCAGAAAAGAGGCTTGAAGGAGGACACTGAGCACCTGATGATGTCTGACCCAAACCACTTTCCCCAGGGGCCCTGGACACTGGGCCTGCCTACTTTGGTCTCCAGCCACCCATCTTTTGCCCCCTCTGGGGCTCTTCTCCTCCCAGGCCCTCTGCTGAGTCCAGTGCATTCTCCCCATTGATCTTCTCACTCATTGCCCCTGAATTACCTTCCTGAGTTCAACCCGGGAGCCGGGGATGGGAGCGGTTGTCTTTTCACTGCCCTGGTGCACAAAATGTCAGAAAGTGTATCACTACACAAAGGGAAAAACATCATTTCCATCAACCAGTAACAGGGACCTTCTGGTGTCCCTGACCCCTTTTGTTCCTCCCTGCTGGTTGGCGTTCCTAGAAGGAACCCTTCATCCCGAGTCTCTCCTATGTTTCCATCTGTTCTCCTGGGTTTCCCTCGCCAACTTACTTTCTCATCACCATGACTGCTCGCCTCCGCTCCATGCTCCCCAAGTCCAGGAAGCCCAGGTGGACGGGGCAGGAGGGGGTTAAGTTACCGGGAAGCCAGACTCAGAGGATCTCAAGGCTGGAAGGAGCCCTGGGCTGACCTGGTTCATCTCAGCCCCGCTCCCTTCCTCCTCAGCCATGACTGTGCCCCTCTGCGACATCCCCACCCGGGACCGGAGACCCTGGCCTCATGCTGACCGCATCCACAGTTTGAACCAGCCCCGGCCGTCCCGTGCCCAGCTTTCTCCTACCTGCCTCTGATCGTCCCAGCAACCTGGGAGGAGTGAGGACAGCTCTCAGCACCTGTCCCACTACTGGAGCTGCAGCCCCATTCAAAGCCCTGGGGTGTCCTCCATCTGGGGTGTCACATGGCTGCCTGGCCAGCTCCTCAAAGTTACACAACTGGTCACCCACCCTTTGCTCTGCCCACAGGCAGCCTGATCTCTCTGCACATCCACGCCCTCCAGAGAAAAGCGCAGTGCGGCCCACCATGCAGTACCCTATCCCGGGGCCGAGAGGCCCAGTGGGCTACTGTGAGAATCACCCCACCCTGGGCCCGGCAGGGTTTGCAGTAAGGCCTGTCCCCTCAGGCCTTTGACCGCCCCGCACTTTTGCCCTCAGAACATGCCCAGACACCAGCATTTCACCGTCATGCCCTTCTCCGCAGGGCCCAGGTAAGGAGCAGCCCAACAACTCCATGCAGACTCAAGGGACAGTCTTTTCTGGGTGGGAGCTGGCATTCCCTCTCCCACCCAAACACACTGGTCACTTTTTAGGACCTGATTATATCCTGAATGAAAAGGCGGGGGTCCTCCGTCCAGCCTCAACTCAATTCCTAAGCTACGCCATGGACATAGGCAAATTCATCTACACATTAGGAAAAATAATCCGTCCCCTCTCCCTCGTATTCCTCAAGCCCAGGCATGAGTCGGACCAGAGCAGAGGTGCCATGTCCTAGGGGAGTGCAGAGCTGTTGAGCCTTCCAGGAAACCCTAGTAGTCCCAGAGAGCACCCGCCCCTCCCGGCCCTTCCTGGTGCCACGACCCTTCATGTACTTGTGTTGGAGCCAAGAAGCCAGAGCTAAGCCATGCTCCAGGCCTTCTATGTACTCTCAAAGTGGGTCATGGTGGGGCGCGGAGAGGATTGTATCTGAGGGGAAAAAAACCAGCAAACTCTGACATGAGAGTAGGGGAGCAAGGTCTCAGTCCTAGCAAAGCCAGCTGGATGGAGGCAAGAGGAAGTGAAGGGGCTGTGAGAGAATAGGGATTGAAGGTCTCCCAAATGCCTCTCATACCACCAGTAGGGTCAGATCAGCCTTCCCATGAGCTCTTTCTGTACTTAGCAAAGCCTCTCCCAAACCCCTTCTGGTTCCTCCTCTTGTCTTCCCTTGCACTCTCTCCCCTCCACTGATACCCGCCCCCGCTCTCCCACATCCACTGCTTCTTCATTCAGTGATGCCTACTCTGAGCCAGGCTTTGTGCTAGACCCTGAGGGTACAAGGATGAATCAGACCCGATCTCTATCCTCTAGGGGTCATAGGCTAGTGGGGAAGATGCACAAACCGACAGAAAATGACACCCCAGTGAGACAAGTGCTGACATACAGAGCATGAGGCTGATGCAAACTCCTGGTTAGGCACCCCACCAGCCGGGGGCAGGGAAGCCCCTGGTGTCAGCTTTCCCCTCTGGACACTAAGCTTCTTGAGAGCAGGGCCTGGGTGATTCACCCCTCTGATGCGTCCTTTCCGTTCCTGGGTGTCTCCAACGTGCACATAGGTTACTAAGCCTTCCTGAGAGAGGAGTTGGACGTGGGGGCAAGAAGAAGCCTGGGCGAGCCGCATCTGAAAGCCAAGTTCCTTTTCAGCACCAATGACGGAGGAGAAGCAAGTAATCATGCCTCTCTCTGATCCTTAATCTCTAGCATCCACACCTGGATCCCCAAACCTGGCTCAGAGCCCAACACTCATAGAGTTTTGCAATCCAGGCTCTTGCTTCAATACGCTAATCAGGATCGCCCGGGGCTGAGGGCCAAGGAATCAACTTCTCCCAGTTGATTCCATTGCAAGTGTTCCTCGCCCCGTGTGCAGAAACCTCTGGCCTAGGCCCCATGAAGGTAGGGAGCGAAGAGGTGTTCCTGACAATGGGTGTTAAGGTGGTCTGCGCACCCTGAGGTAACAGGAGGCAGCAAGTGACGATCTGAACCCAAGAGGATGCCACATCCCCTGACCCAGCCCATAGGCACGGCCAGGAGAATCCCGCCATTGGGGGCACCTACGGCTTAGATGGCCTGGGAGGTCTTCAGGAGACACTACTCATCTCTGCCTTCCCTTCAGTTTTCCGCGTCAAAATGGAATCCTTTACACTGACAGATAAAGGGGATGCTGGTTAAACTTTAAACGAGACTGCCTAATTTTATCAGACTGTCCTGGGTTTTTGCCCTGATGCTAATACGTTAGCAGAGGCTTTGTCTGAGCCTTGGGCCTCTAAACGATGGGAGGGAGCCTGTGGCCTGCTTGGACTCCAGCATTTAAGTGCCCTGACCCAGGCCCGCTCAGAAGGCAGGATCGAATGGGGCAGATCTGGTGGCAAAGCTGAATGGAAACCATTTCCCGAGACGTCATTTCCCTGCCCTGGGAGGGTCTCCTTCCTTGGCGCCCCGGTGCCTGGGCCATATTTCCTGAAGCAAAAGACGCCTTTGTCTTTATCCACCCCACCCTCCTCATACCCGCCACATACCTCGAGGGCGTGCCCAAAGAGCCAGTGCATGGGGGGCCCTGGGAAGCTGTCCATGGCCCTGGCCAAAAACTGTCTCCGCATCAGCAGACGAATGACCTTGAGGAAGCCTAAGACCAAGATCAGTCCAGAAGCCCACAGGCCCAGGTGAGAGACGCTCTCAGAGAGTAAGAGAGGCCCCATGGCTGGAGTCCCAGTCACCTAGGCTCCTCCTGCTGCTTTCTGGTCTCCTTATACACCTGGCCAGGTCCTGCCCCCAGCCAAAGAGCAGCAGCTACCCAGAGTGGGTGGAGCTTCATAAGGCACAGTCAGCAGTCCCCGAAGTCAGCAGACAACAGAAGAGACAGCCTGGCTGACCAGTCTCAAAACGGCTGCAGAGGAACCAGGTGGTGGACTTCAACGAAAGCAGACAAGGTGCACCATGCCTTAGTTACTTGGAGGAGCAAACGGAAGGCAATTTTTGTTACAATCGTTGGCATAAAACTGCTTTTTCGTAGAAGCACCTTGTTGTTTCAGGAGGTTTCTACACACTGTGTCTATTAACCCCAGTGAGGAGGTGGTCATAGGTACTCTCCCTACACCCATTTCCAGGTTAAAAAAAACTGAGGCTCAGCTTGCCTGAGCTCTCATCTTTCCCTTGCAATATGGGCCACTGGGAGGCTTGCACTTAGGTGAGGCTCATGACACTTTGAGTCCTTTTCTGAGAGGTGCAGTCAGGGACAAGGTTCTAGCGCCAGAAGGGAGATCCTGGATCAGAGAAGGGCCAGCTTCACCCCAAGGCCACAGGACACACTTGACACTAAAGAACATGGAGTGCGACTTTCAGGAGGATGCGGAGGATCGTCAAACTCAGTGCCGCCTGGATTAATGGAACAAGCCACTTGGGCCCAGAGAGGGGCAGGGAATTGTCCAAAGCTTCACACAAGGCAGGTGTAGCTCTCAATTGCCCAGCCCAAGTTCTGTGAAAGACTAAGGTTGGTCCAGGCCCCAGCCGTGCCTGGGGAAGGGTCTGCTATTTCTACCTCCAGTCCTGGGTGTAACAGTCAGGGTCCCACGGGAAACAAGTCACTGGAGGTGTTTCAGATGAAAAGACATGGATGCAGGGCTCTTTCTAGAAGGAGAGCAGAACTGAGGAGCCAACCAAGGTATGATGTGGTTTCCAGAGACTGGCAGCAGCAGCAAACCCACGGACATCCCTAAGCTGAAGGAAAAAAGGGACAGCGTTCCTGAAGCCTCGTAGGGGCGACTACTGCCAGAGAAATGATGCCGGAGACGGAAGAAGCAGAGAGGAAATGTCCAAGCCCCTTTGTTCTCCGACACTCCAAGCTCCTGGTGGTATCTCCTTTCTGCCAAACCCAACCTCCGGTGAGAGGGCAAGGGAGCCCGGAGGAGTCGGCACATGGGAATCAGCCTCCCAGCAGTGCAAGAAGAGCAACGGCTGGGCCTGGCGTGGGGATGGTCGGGGACCAACCAGAAAACAGGTGGACTCAGAACTCTGATCTCTGAACTCTGATGGCAGGCACTGACTCGGGGAATGGTAAATGCCAACATGGTCTCCAGCTCCTCTGCTAGGGAAACACCCTATCCAGTCTTCCCATAGACAGAGAAGGCAGGGTGGCAGAATAATAAAAGGAATCCCGAGAGAGGTCTGAAATCGCACACGCGTGCTCCATTGCATTAGATCAGAACATTGAGTGCTCCACTTCAAATGCAAGTCATCCAAGGCCCTGGCCGGGTAGCCCAGGTGCTTAGAGCATCATTCGAATACACCGAGGCTGGGGTTTCAATCCACGGTCAGGGCACATAGAAGAAACAACCAATGCATGTATAAATAAGTGGAACAGCACATCAATAGTTCTCTCTCTCTATCTCTCAAACAAACAAACAAACAAACAAACAAACAAACAAATAAAAGCAAGCTGGCCTTCCAGGTCAGAGAGTGAGGCTGCAAGAAGGGCTATCAGAAGACTTCCATAGTTTAGGGTGAATTTATTTATCAGTGTGGTCTCAGCCTGATGGTTTAATGGAGTGTTTGGGGGAGCCTGAGGGAGTTCCTACCTGATGAAGGAGCCATGGCTCCCAGCAAGAACCATTTAGGATTCACCTGGGAGGAGACGAGGGCTAGCGAAGAAAATGGTAAGTGGATGTAACTGTCTTGAGATACACATCCCGCCCCAGACAAGTCTCTTAACCTCTGTAAATCTCAGCTGCTAACCTGCAGAACACATTAGGTTGTTCTAATCTGTAGGTTGTAATACTATCTACTTCATAAGGTTGTTTGGAGGATTAAATAAGATGTGTGTAAAGCACCCAGCTTCCATCCACATGGAGTGGTCAGTACAATTAAACTAAATATTCACACAGCTGTTTTTGGGTGAGTAACAATCAATAAAAGGAGAATGTGTGAGATAATTTCTAGCCTGGGTTCTGGAGGTTCTTTGGCTCCCCAAAACTCATCTCACTGAGATACAGTTGCTTCCGAATAATCCCAACTGCCCCTGGCTGGTATTGTACCTAGGCCTAGGTGTGTACTAAGTGGAGGGAGGAGGCTCTGGCTGTGGAATGTGGGTAGGGTAGGGCGGGATCAGGAAGCCCAGGAGCCGACCTTGTCCCTACACAGTAAGGCAAGCCAGACTCTTATCTCCACAGTGGCCCGAGGGCCTTTAGCTGAGGGGCCGGGATCAGGTCTCTGGAGAAACAGTTTGGGGAGTGCAGGGCTTTGATCCATTTCAAATTTCGTGCACGATATGAGGTAGTGATCTCATTTTCCCATTACCACATGGACAGTCATTATTCACAGCACCATTTGTATTTCCTTTATCCATACTGATTTATAAATCTGCTGTTATCATGTATGACATTTCAATATCACTGAAACACAAACAGCAATACTACGTGTTACACATACACCATAGTTTTAAAAACCTGTTTGGAAGCATACTTATTTCAGGTTAGACTGTTATGGAGAGAGGAAGGGAATAGGGATGACCAGGGTAAGATTTTAGCTGTAACTAAAGACTTTCTCATCAACAGCTACTTTAAAGCCAGAATATGTAGGTTAATATCTTCAAAGCCTAATAAAATACAACTTTCAACCTAGATTTGTATACCCTGACAAATGGCCTTTCAAAAATGAAGAGGAAATGAGGACATTTTCAGACAAGGAAAAGCTGAGAGTTTGTCACCATCAGACCCTAACTGACGAAAAGTGTAAAAAATATACTTCAACACTGAGGAAAGTAAATCCGACAAAGAAGGTCCGAGTTGCAATGGTGAGTAGAAAGCGGCAGGCACGTGGGTCAGTGCAATTAAGCATTGACTGTATACAACAGTATTCATAATGTCTTGTGGAATGTTTTTAAAAAGATATAACTAAATTAACTGGTAGTAATAATATGTGGGCAGGAGGAGGACAAGGGAAGAGTGTTCAAAGGTCCCTGAATTTTTCGGGATGGGATAAAGTCTTAATTTTACTTTAACTGTAAACTTTGATATGTAAAGTATACATGTTAAAGTGTTTAGGGAGACACTTAAGAATATAACAAATTTAAACTTGTAGCTGAAAAGTGCGAATAAGTGTTCCATCAATCTAAAAGAAAGCAAGAAGAGAAAAGCATTATAGAAAAAGTGGGAAAGGCCACTTGTAGTAATAAAGATTAGAAAGACTTAAATAAAATGGAAGAAAGATCGCATGACCCCATCCAGGAGGGTAAGGGAGGACCAACATTGCACGCAGCTGAGAGGGGGAGAGTGGGGAAGCCCTACAGCTGCATACTGAGGACACTGTTGGTGACAGAGCCCAAGAAGCAATTTGGGTTTCTTAGCTCACCCCCCACCTTGAATAGACTCCAAGAGTCTCCCACAAACATGTCCCTCAGAAGTACAGTTTAAGTAAAAAACAGAGTACTTGTTATGTAAGTGCAGAAAACAAGTTCTCTAGGTGTCCCCACTCCACCCCCAAAACATACCACCCATTCCAGGCAGGGTTCCTGTGAAGATCAAATGCCAAGATTTCATTTGCATATGCACAGAAAGACGGTGTTTCGTGAAGATGACTCGATATTTCATTGGGTTTCTCCTGGGCTGTAGGGCAGGGTGAAGCCAAATGTAGGGACTCATCAAAAAGGCATGGTACCAGACCCAATGGGGGAAAAAATTCTACGATGTGCAGCAAGCACTGCCTGGAGAGAGGGAAGGGACAAGAGAACCGGAACTCACAGTTACAGAGCTCTTACCATGCCGGGCCCATTACACAACCAGCCTGCCCGGCAAGTGCCGCTGAGCTATGAGACCGTGTGCTCCCCATCGCTGGAAGTGACCGAACAGAGCTGGAGTTCCAGTCCGTGGGGTAGAGGAGGAGGGGTTGAATCAACGCCCTCAGAAACTCCTTCCTCTCTAATTCAGGGAACAGGGCTTCATTTCAACAAAAGAGACCCAAGCGTGGCCCAGTCTCCAGGAAGGACAGTCAAGGACGCTGGGGTGGCCTGGCTCAGGTTACAGCAACACCATCCGCGGGTGTGCTCAAGCAATTGGACACTACTTAGGATTAGGACAGCTTCCAAAACCTTGGAGAGCTCACTCAGTACCTTGGCTCCCTGCTCAGCCTCCTGCCCTACCCTGGGAAAGTTTCCGTTTCTGGGGCCAAGCAAACACTGCGGGGGCCCTCAGGCCTGTTGTCGGGGAGCTGGGCAGGTTGAGGAAAAGAGACGGGCTCAGAGAAAGGTCCCGTGGATTGAGCAGGGATGGAGGGTGGGCAGTGCCTTGCTAATGTGGGCCAAAGACACGTGAGGGGAACAACTTACAGGCCAGAAGGTGGAACGCTGTGGCTGGAAGAGTGAATGGGAGGTGAGGAATGTACACAGTGAAGGTCAACAGTAAACGCCTGAGGCTGTTTGACTTTTAAGGTGGGGAGACTGAACATTTTTTAATGCCAAAGGGAAGATGCTGGTAGTGAACAAGGCTGAGAATGCAGGACAGAGGTGGATTCAGGTGCCAAGCACGGAGGACATGAGAACTGCAGTGTAGGGTTGGCTGAGCCCAGGGGGAGAAGGGGCAGAAAGGGGGTTGGAATGTTGAGGGGGTGTGGAGGAGAAGGACACTGCTGGATCCTTCCCAGGCAGGAGGAGACAACCGTGGGCAGAGGGGAGGCTGCCCTGAGGAGGAGAGTTGAGTAGGAAACGGTGGCCTTCCAGAGAAGGCCGGGAATAGTCGGAAAGGACACGGGGCA